ACCTTGGAGTAGCCTGGCTCGGGCACCTTGGAGTAGCCTGGCTCGGGCACCTTGGAGTGGCCTTGTTCAGGGATCTTGGTTTGGCTTGTCTGTGGAACCTTGGTGTTGCCAGGATACGGGACTTGGGGGTTGCTTGGCTCCTTGGTTATGGGAACAACTGGTGGAGGTTGAAAAGGCTGTTTCACCTGCTGCTCCTGAAGCTGAGGTGGTGGGATGAAGGTCTGCTTTTGCTGATAGGAACTCATGATTCAAAGGTGGATGAACCTAGGGGGGAAAAAAGCTGAATCAGTGGTTTGACTAAATACGGAAGTCAAGTTCAATATAAAATATATCTCATTTTGAAGCCTGAGTGGTGAAAGATCCTTTACTCTTCCTCTCTGCTTCCTTGAATTTTAGCTCAAGTGGTACACTGATGATTCTTGTGCTATTTAGATGAGAAGTCTAAAAGTGAGTGGAGACCTTCCCTATGGTCCTTTATTGCTGGCTCATGTAAAAATCCTTGGTAGAAATATAACACAGTAACTTCTAGGATTGTTTCCGCTGACTTTCTAGGTTTATAGATGATTTACAAAGATGAAAACGGAAAATATTTGAGCTTACTTCCCACATCCAACACAAAATGTGTCTGAACTCTCTTCTGACCAAGCCCCATATGATCCCATTGCTGCCCCTCTGTGCATGCTGTCTGGAAGTTTGATAACCTTTATGATGATTTTTCCAGGCATCCTTGGTTCAGTGCTATCACCTTCCTTACACAACCTCAGCAAACTAGTTAGTATTTTCTTCCAATCTTGTATGTTCACATGCCATGCCCATACATTATGTTGTCTGATGTTTCATATGCTTACAGAGTTAAAAAAATGATTTGGACTTACAAATTGCCTTTTGATTTATATTTGATATCTATCATTGCTGCTGTTTGTAGTCAAGTTGTTTGCATCAAGTATGACTCATAGTGACCTTAGGAACAAGAGCTCTCTGAACCCTGCCTTATCCTATGGTATCACATAATTTCCGACACACTTGGGTCCATTGCTACAGTCACTGTGTCAATCCATATAACCCTCCCTCTTTCTAAGCATGATGTCCCTCTCCAAAGGAATAGTCTCTCCTAATAACATGCCCAAAGTATGTGAGATAAAACTTTGGCAAAAACAACCGTTTGATACTACCAATCCTCACTGAAGATGAATCCATTGCTGCCATGTTCATTCAGACTTATAGTAATGCTATAGGAAAGAGAACTGTCCCAAGGGTTTCTGAGGCTGTAAATATTCACAGGTGGAGTCTGCCTCATTGCTTTCCTGTGGAGCAGCTTGTGGGTTCAAATTGATGATCACTGGTTTTGCAGAAAAATGCTTAATCTACAGGAAAACCCTGGCTTCTCAATAAACATTAAAGAAAGAATTAAAAAAGCCACAAAAATTTTCTTGAAAATGAATATCGGCCCATTTAATTCTGCTAACACAGTATGAATTCTTACGGGTATCACTAACACATTCTTATTACAAGTTGCACAACTACAATGAGAGATATATTTATAAAGTCCACTATGCAAAAACTATAATTGCATTTAATTTTTTAAAAAATTGAGAATACTAATGTAGTTATAATTACTATAAAGCTTTGCTGGGCTAATATTAAGATGTTCCCATTAGGGAGACTTACCTGGGACACTGAGAAGAACACGTTGTCTGTCTCTCTGGTCTGGTCTGTGTAGAATGTCTGACCAGCTGGCTTTTTATACAGGAAAGGAGCCCTGCCTCAAGGAAGTGGGATTTTGGGGACCACTCTATCCTCATTCCATCTTTTGTGATGAAAATCTGAGGCTTAACATTCTTTGGCACTTGCTGACAATGATGTCACCTTGCTTGTTCATACTGCCTGTCCTGTGTGTTAAGGTTGCTGTGGACAGCAGACTTGGGGTTAATAGGTTAAATCAGGATGAAATGACGGGTCTTTCAGGACTAGAAGCAAACCTGGTTTTCTTGCTCGGAACTCTAACCTTCAGTTCATGACTGACCTATGTGGCTGCTGGATCTTAGAAGTGGGAATGGAAAAAACAACTGTCATTACTGAGTCTTTTGATCTTACTTTTTTAGATCTTGGTTTGGAAGGGGAAAGTCAAGCTAAAATAAGATGTCTGCTTTTGAATTGAATTAACTTCTTTGCAGAGGAAAATATTAGTAGTTTAGTTGACCACAGTTGTAGAAGTCAAGATTGGACAGAAACAAGAGATTTAGGATTGTCAGAGTCCTGTTAGCTAGGACTCTCTTTGCTTATGATAAGGAAGATGTGATCACTAATCCAGAGCTGCCCTCAGCACACAATGACAAGTGATGTATTTCTTGGCAAATCTAAGCCATCTTTAAAACCTGGGTGTGTGAGTGGTTCCTCCATTCCAGCATCTTTGGTGTGTCATTGTCTATGAACCTACACCCCAAATATAGCTCCTTCCTCCAGGTCAACAAAATCAGTGACCATACTTATTTGTCCTTATAAAGATCCTTGTCTCAATCAACATGACACTAATATTTTCTTCATAAATTTTTAGATTCATGAAAGAAAGTTGGCAAAAGGGAAGAAGAAAGGGAGGGGGAAAGAGTGAGAAAGGGAGAGGGAGAGTGAGGGAGAGAAGAGTGAGAGAGAAGGGTACTAAACAAAGGAAGGAAAGAGAAAGGGAACAAGGAATGGAGGAGAGAATTATTTTATTTTTTTAAATAAAATTTTTATTTTATACTAATTTACTCACAAAGTTCATAAACAGAGAATATTATTTTCTAAAAAGGTCCAGAATTTACTTTTAGAACAATACAAAGGTGACTGTAAGATGTTTCACTACTTTGGGATGAGTCTTTTGGATGATACTGAGGAACAATCATGGCTGAGGAAGGCACAGACACTTCCACAGCCTCCCTCATCCAGCTCCTTCCCTCTCTGCTAGTCTTTGATCAGTTAGTTGCCTCCTTCTGAGGGTGGTGCCATCCTCACACCTGAGTTCCATGGCTATGGAATGACTATCTCTTTGCTCGACTACTGAACAGCCCTCTCTTACCAAAATTGCTTCTCAGGAGCCTTTGACTGTGGGAGCTGTTTTGAGACTCTGACTCACCATCTGAGATCCTTAGCTCCAATGGAATCTGCTTCATGATCTTCTGTCTTCCAGATGTGTAGGCTTTCTTTGAGGCTCTGGTTGACCTGAACCTGACTGAGTCCTTTCTGAACTTGGGTCGTTTCATCCTATTTTGATTCTGGACCTTGATTCTAGGAAAATTCCATTCTAATTGCCTAAATTCCTTCCCTGTGCTGTCTTAACTGGAACTACCTTCTCAAGAAAATTGAGTGCCTCTTACCATGTTGTTGTTATGTGCAGTCGAGTCACCTGTGATTCCTAGTGACCCTATGTACAACAGCCCTAAACCCCGCTCTATCTTATGCCAATCTTATTTTCTCTCAAACACCTCCCTCTATTACCCCAGTCACTGAATCAATCCATCTCATCAAAGGTCTTTCTCTCCTGTGCTGTCTCTCCATCCTCCCAAACATGATGTCTCTCTCCAAGGACTAGTCCACCTTGCAACCTGTCCAAAGTATGTCAGACAAAGCTTCAGAATCCTTGCCTCCAAAGAGCAGCCTGGTCTCACCCTCTCTAGGATGAACTTATTTGTTCTCCTAGCAGTCGATTCAATACTTTCCTCCAGCACCACAGCTCAAAGGCATCAATTCTCCTTCTATCATCCCTAGTCATTGTCCAGCTCTCTGATTCATAGCAAGTAATTGCAAAGACTATGGCCTGGATCAAGGTGGGTGACTTTCAATCGGCGGTCCTTGGGCCTATCTTTCATCGTTTTTGTTCAAACATTCCTCTAGGTTGTATAGCCCTGGTGTGTCCACTTGCTGTACAGCGGTCACTTGTGGTTGTTGTGAGGCTAAATACTGTGACACTGATATGTCAAATGTGTTAATGGTTGGTTACCCAATGCAGATAGTGTGGGGTGGAGCTCCCCGATTAAAACAAGCTTGGAAGTAGGAGTGGCATCCACCTCTATAATAGCTTGCCTCCAGAAACCCTATGAACCTGGAGAGAGAATGAAAGACACACAAGCATTGAGGGCTCTCCTTCATAGGGTCACTATGAGTTGCCTGCGACTTGATGGCACTTAACAACAACAACATGGCCTGGATCAGGCACACCTGAGTCTCCAGACTGACATTGTTTCTCATTGTTGTTGTTGTTGTTATGTGCCATTGAGTCGCCTGCGACTCATAGCGACCCTATGTAACAGCCCTAAACTCTGCTCTGTCCTGTGCCAATTGCACTGTCTCTGACACAACCATCCCAATTATCCCAGTCACTGAATCAATCCACCTCATAGAGGGCCTTCCTCTCCTGCGCTGTCCCTCCACCCTGCCAAGCATGATGTCCCTCTCCAAGGACCGGTCTCTCCTCACAACATGTCCAAAGTATGTTAGACGGAGCCTCAGAATCCTTGCCTTCAAGGAGCCACCCGGTTTAACCCTTTCCAGGACAAATCTGTTTGTTTTCCTAGCAGTCCATGGTATTCTCAATACTCTTCTCCAGCATTTCTCATAGGCACTGTAATTCTTCATGAGGTCTTCTTCTTTAATGACATGCGGCTTCTTTCTACTCCTCCCTAGTCAGTTACCTGAGTCTGCCTTCAGACCTGTTGGTACACGGTATTGGAGACATTTTATGTATTCTAAACCTATAAACCTTGCCCTTTGTATAGAGTCTACTTTTCTCTCTGATCTGATGGTTCTTTGATGTCATAGTGTAGGATATTTTTTTGTAATCTATAATAGAGTTGTACAAGTTTGAAATATAGAGTAGTTAATGTCCTGGTGTCTATACATTGTAAAGAAGGCCTGGAGCTTATATTAAAAATTTTCTCTGATATTGATTTCTTATGTCTTCTCTGAAAATTCTGTAAAATCAGGTGCCAATTACATTTTCAACAAAGAGTCTACTTCTATTAACTTTGTTTAATCTTACTCCCGCTTATAAATCATTTCCTCTTTGAGAACAAATTGCTAGATATATCATGTCTATAAGACTCTGTTTTTAAGGAATCTAGGCCAATATATATGAAACACTTTTTATTTTTTTTGTTAAAATATTTTAATTCTCCCTGTACATATCTATATGAGCCAAAAGTAATCAAGAGTGCATACTTTATAATATTTACCTGTTTTGAGACATTCAAGTCAATTCAGATGGCAACAG